GGTATAAGGAGGTTGGTAGATAGAAGATGAGTCAAGCTGCTGGAAAAGACACGTGTGGCAAGAGGTGGAAATGTCTCCATGGAGTATTTAACAGATGGACCTTCATTTGGAAAGCTCATTACAAACTCCACTAATTAGTTTGAAAGTGAACAAGGGAATGTAGAAGAAGCCCACTCTTCAACCTTTATTATTATTACCATTGCATTTATTCATTCTATTTATATTCTGCTTTTTTCTTTTTTTAAGAACTCAAAGCAGCTTATGTCATTCTTCTCCCCTTGCTCTCAGTTTTATCCCCAGAACAACCAGCTTGTGAGGCAGACTGGGCTGAGAGGCTGTGACTGGCCCAAAGTCACCCAGTTGGCTCCATGGCCAAGCGGGGACTAAAAACCAGATCGCCTGAATCCCAGTCCCACACTCCTAACCACTATACCACAGTGGGTCTTGGGAGAAAGAATTGGACTATGACAACTGTCTTGACAGAGTAGATGAAAGGCTGTCTCAAGCACATGTACACGGATGTACATGCATCTATGTATTTGTTGTTGTTGTTGTTGCTAGTCACGAAGTCGTGTCCGACCCATCGCGACCCCATGGACAACATTCCTCCAGGCCTTCCCATCCTCCACCATCCCCCGGAGTCCACCTAAGCTCACACTGATTACTTCAGTGACTCCACCTAGCCACCTCATTCTCTGCTGTGCCTTTCCTCTTTTGCGTCAATTGTTCCCAGCATTAGGGTCTTCTCCAGTGAGTTCTTCCTTCTCATTAGGTGGCCAAAGTATTTGCATTTCATCTTCAGTATCTGGCCTCCTAAAGAGCAGTCAGGGTGACTGACCAGTTTGATTGCCTTGCAGTCTAAGGGACTTGCAGGAGTCTCCTCCAGCACCACAATTCAAAGGCCTCAACTCTTTGGCGCTCAGCCTTCCTTATGGTCCAACATTCACAGCCATACATTGCAACTGGGAAAACCATAGCCTTGACTATACGCACTTTTGTCGGCAAGGTGATATCTCTGCTTTTTTATATATTTCATATAAAATATAAGTATATATTACATATAAAATATTTATATATTGTAATCTATATATTACAAAGAAGTATTCTCTCCCAGATAAACTCATACCAAAAAGGAGGGGGCCAATAGGATCTACCCTCAGGCTGACTAGCCAAGAAGATACAACAAGCAAGAGAAAGGCAGGCAGGGTGGAGAGAGGAAGGCAGAGATGATTTGTCTTTCCAGCCCTGTAGTGTGAGTCTCTTGGCCACCACGAGGGCTTGGAGAGTCCACTGGCAGTGGCCAGGGGATTGCCTGCAGGACATGGGAATGTAATTCAGCAATACACTGACATCTTCAAACATGAGTGATGTGCTTAGAACAAAACTGAAGTGTCTAAAAAAACATTTCCAGAAGGGGGGCCACTACTGGGCATTTCCAAATCATGTGCACTAATGATGTTTCTGCCATCCCACATCATCCACTTTATTAGAGGGTGATAACCCCCCCCCCAAAAAAAAGGTGCTGTGGAGCCTGATATGCCTGCAAGAGCAGACCAAGTCCTCCAATAATGTTGGGAATTCCAAAGCAGTGAATGCTACTGGGCCATATGAGGATTATTCCCTTCTTTCTTTTTTCTGTGTATCTAATAAAAATTATTAATAAAAACATCTTTAAACCCCCAACAACAATGCCAGAAGAAAGCTGTGCATTATAAGCAGGCACATCCTGCTGGATTGGCTGATCTTCCCTTCGTCATTCAGAGCAGCTGCACCCGATCCAGTGACCCTTGCTCAGTTGTCCAACTGCAGAGACCAGAAGTGCTTTATGCCTCTTCTCCAGACTCAGGACAGATGGAGCTGAGTGTCCTTCCTGACACTGAAAGGGGAGGAAGATGCCTGCAGCTGCTGCTCCTGGAAGGAGCCGGACTAGTCTTCCTCTTGCCATGATGTTCTTCCCAGGAGGCAGGGATGGAATTCCTCCATGGCCCCTAGTTTGCTGCTCTGTTTAAAGTTTTAAAGTTTAAAATAATGAGATCCTAGTTTGTAGTTTCAAGGAGCTCTTAAAGCAGCTTACAAATGTTTCTTGCAAGAAAACAACTTTCAATGGTCACGATTATTCAAGCAACTTTCCTGCCTTCATTCTCCCAATTTCACTTGGGATGAGTCTATTTCTTAAAAGTAATTTATGAGCTGCCCTATAAAAGCTGAAAACCCAAGATTATACAGAAGGCAAGCATAAGGTAGTCTAGACGCTTCCATTAACTAGGCCTGCACAGTAGCCCTTGTCAATATACATTCCCTTTCCACAGCTGGATTTCATACGTTGTTGAGGTCCTCCGTGACCAGTAAGGACTCAGCTAGTGCAGGACTGCGAGAACCATGTTTCTGATGGGGCTCCCCCTGAGACTGGGCTCCCATTAATAAGTGTGTGATGGGTTTCCCTTCCGGAATTCAGCTCCCTTTCTTGTACCCTTATTTTGATATACCCTTCAGCTGGTGACTACATTTAATCTCACAATCTTGTCATGTTACCCATGAGCCCAAGGTGCAACATTATCCTATTCAGGGAGGGTGGAGCAGCAGAGGTGGTCCTCTGCATCCTCCCACCCGTGTATGTCACTAGCTGTGCTGTTTTGCTCCAACTAGCAGGAGCATTTCAGAGGGGGGAGGAAGGACGACTGGTATCAAAACAACCTGGCCTCTCCTGTCTCCTTCCCTCCTTCCCTGCCAAAATGTCCTCTTTGCCCCCTATCTGAGGTCACTTCTATGTCTTTGGAGAACAGCCAGCATGGTCATTTCCATGATGGTTCTGAGCAGGAGTGAGGGGTTGGTGCTCTGATTCCCTGCTTGGAGGTTGGAGTGCTGCCTGCAGCCTTAAATCTGGGAATCTGAAATATCCCATGGCCCCTCAGATGCTGTTTAGGCCCAGAGGATTGCTTGTTAGATGAGCTTTAAACTATTTTCTAGGAGAATTTAATAGATAGATAGATAGATAGATAGATAGATAGATGATAGATAGATAGATAGATAGCAAGGTAGCGAGGGTATCATCTCCTTGCAAGGTACTCTACATGTGTGTGGAGAATGACTTCTGTTTACTTTGAAGATTTTTGCTTTGCTGCTCCTTTTAACTTTGCTGCTGGGGCTGGGATACTTCGTCACCCAAGCGCCTCATGCGCAGTGAGCAATGTGCTACCCCCAGTGTGCCTCTGCACACCCATTGCTGGGAGCATGAGCATGAATACGCTAGCATGCTCATGCTTATGGAGGTCCCACAGGCAGCTGTTTGACCTGTGTGAACAGAACACTGGATTAGATGGACCCAGCATGTCTCTCCTTCTGCTCTCATGCCCAGCTTTATCCTCAGTGTGGATACTATGTTGAGATCTTGGCTTATACTAACACCTGGAAGGAGTTTTCCTAGCCTCCACATCATCAAGGCGGTGGTGCATGGCTGTTTGGTGAAATGATAGTGTGAGCTGACACTTCCAACACTTGTCCTCCTGGCAAGTCAGGAAAGGGCACAGCACTGGCATTTCCTATATAGCTGCTTCATTGCTGAAGCAGCATCTTTCTGACTGTGCTCTCCTCTTGCTAGGCTGGCCTTTCTGGTCCTTGAACTACAGAATGATTCCTGGTGAGGTTGGGAACAGGATTTCATAGCAGGAATGGCAGGAACAGGATGCAATATTCTGCCCAGTCTACCCAATGCAACGCATGACATCTTGGCTGGTTGGGCATATGAGTTTAATTGCTCAATCATGGCAAGTAGCATGGATATGAATGCTGCAGAGGCAGGCATGATGACTCACACACAGCTGGCTGTTAGCACCACTGCTGGCAGCAGCAGCCTGTCCTCTGGGTGAGTGAAGGAATGCTTCTCCTGAGATGTTTCCTGCAGCCCATCATTTCCCCAAGAATGTCCTATATCTGGGGTCTGTTTTAATCATGGAGATTAATAGTTAATTAACCAGTTTGTCACCCAAGGCTGGAACCCTAAACATATTCACCAGAGGGTAAGTGCCTCTGAACCCAGTGAGACTTACTTCTGAATAAGACTGCATAGGATTGTGTCATAAATGCTGAAGCTGCTCACCACACCTCACCACACCATGTTTGGCAATGGGCGAAGTTCCATGAGATAAGGAACGGGTGGGAAAGTGTAGTCTCTGGCTTTTGTAACTGATGACATGATAGAAAACCCGGTGCATTTGATGCCTATGAACTGCCACTGCAAAGTCACATTTTTGCCTTTCATAATGGCTGATCATAATAGCATAAAAGCAAAAGCTCTACAGCGTCCCATTGGGAAAGGTGACAAAATGCATCTTCGCCAAGTGAATGGGAAATGTCATCAGGTGTCCATTTGCAAATACATATTCTGAGTCAACCTTAAATGACTCCCTGAAGGAATCCTGCTCCCATAACTACTGCTAAGATCATGGGCCATCGTGTATCTCTCTCAGCTGGGATGAGAGTGATATAAATGAGAGTAAGGGTTTTTCAGCTCTACGGATGCAAAGTGCTCTGAAAGTGCTCCTCCTGAAATCATATCCAGAACTTAGTTCATAAGAAGCAGCACAGACACAACAAATGACAATTTCACTGAAGCCCGAGTCCCTGTTGAAGCAGAGCTAGAGCTCTTGCACAAGGCATAACCCCAAAGCACAGATGAATGTATTCACTAATGCATTCAGTAGCTCGTTCAAAATTTGTAATGCATATTGTGGCTGTTTAGTTTGTTGCACTGCATGGAAAGCTCATGCATGAACAGACATGACTCTCACTGTGTTGGAGCTGAAATGAAGGCGAGGCAGGAGGTAGGAGGAGGTAGCAATAAAAGAGAAAACCTGAAGCAATCAGCTCTTGCGTTGTTGCAATATGTGCATATAAAGCTGCTTGACACATGAAGCCGTGAAGAAAGTTTCCAGCCTGCCACTGTGTAGAGTGAAACCAGGAACTCGGTGAACCTGATCCCAGGTGTTCTGCTAGCAGTGAGAATGCCTCCACAGTCAGATGCCAGTGTAGAAAAGCCAGAACCTGGTTCAGATGTTCCACGGCTTTTCACCTGGGAGGAGGTCGGACTCCACTCAGGGGTAAGCAACTCCAAGCAAGATAGATGGCTTGTCATCGACAGAAAAGTCTACGATATCAGCCAATTTTATCGGCAGCACCCTGGAGGAACCCGTGTCCTCAGCCACTATTCAGGACAAGATGCCACGGTAAGGTCTTCTTGCAGGAGCTTGAGCAGTTGGGCAGGACCATGACGCAAGGCACAGCAGAAGCCCTGCATGGCCAAGGTCCCAGGTTCAGTCCTTGGCACCTGCAGATATTTCCCAGGATGCTACCCAGCTGGCTATGAAAGACCAATGCTTAGTATTGTACACTGGGTGTTTTCCTATAGCACTTGAGCAGATTGTCCGGATGTAGAAAAGGGAAGAAGGATCTGAAGGGGCAGGAAAGCCCATTCCGGAAGAGGTGAACTGTGGAAGAAGGGATTGAGGTTGTGTTCAGGTGTGAACGATTGAGCCAAACCCCCATCCTGATCACTTACCAGGAGCACACTGGCTGCTTAGATCACACTGACTCCCAGGAGACTGGCACAGCCTAACTGGGTGCAGGATTGCAACCTTTCACAGTAAGACTTAACCCAAGCATGTTTACTTGAAAGAAGGGTTCCAAGAGAATTTGAAGCCAGTTTGAGGGCTTCTTCTCAGACAAAAGTATCTCAAGTAATTCTGAGGGCAATCCAAAGAGTTTTGGTAATATCAGCAACACTTTCTGGCTCATTTTAGGTTAAAGTGAGCATGTCTTGCACTTCTCTTTGCCTTCAGTGAAAACTTATTTACTGCTCAATTATGCTCAGGATTTCACCATCATCTGTACAGTTTTACAGCCTAATCTGTCTGCAGAAAGTTCAATATATTTGCATTATGTTTAGAAGAAAGAGCATTGCCTAAGACCAAGATTAGTAAGGAAAAAGACTTTAAGGCACTGAAATTGTCCTGTGCGAGCACTCCTGCAAAAGGACATGAAGTGATTTATGGCTTTGCACCTGAAAGGTTTTTAAATAACAAAGCAGTAAAATTATGGGATAGCGTGGTGAATTAAAGTTAGCCAAGTGAGAACATTTTACCTGGTTTATGGCAAGTTTTTTTTAATATACTGTGCTGCTAATGTCTAGATAAACTTCTCATTGTGTGCGCATGCATGTCCCAGTTTTGTGTTGCTAACTATCAGACGAGCGTCAAAAGTAGCCATGCTTGGGTTTTCCCCTTCTCCAACCTCATTTCCTCCCAACCTGCAGAGAAAGGCTGCTACCCTTTTAAGTGCCATGGGAGAGTAACTGAAGGGGTAGCGGTTTCAGGGAGACCTCCTGGCCTCACTGTGACAGCCGCCAGTTGCTCTCAGACCCTGCTGAAGTGATTTGCCAGTCCTCTGGCTCTAGCACACTGGCCAAGGTCCTGAACCTAATCAAACTTCCAGAAACCTCCCAGCCATCCAGACCACACGGAGCCTCAGCGCCTGCACCGTCACTCAGGCGAGCCAATGGCTTCCTGATGGATCCTGACACTTGGCAAGGATGACATGTGGGATATTAGTGGCTCAAAGTTGTGCACACCACACCAGTTGCCTTTTTAAAGTTAAAAGAAAAACCTTGTCAACCACAGTGCATAATAAACCACGGTCACTTCTGCACTCGCTTCCTGAATCTCCCATTTCTCATAATACCCCATGAATGTCAGTGAACACCGCCTATGCTTGTAAGAATAGCCCAGTGTCATCCTGAGGGGAGGAGTGTTAATCTTTGACCAGTCTTCCCAAAAGTTACTGAAATAGCTAGGAAAATAAACAGGTTTGAACATAGTTCATCCACCAGGACAACCAAGGCAGTGTCAGTCTCCAAACAAATCTGAAAGCCAGAGAGGAGTTAAGAATCAAATACTCCCTCCAATCCATTGTCCAGACATTCATTGCTGATTAGTTACTGCTGATAGCTGTTCAAACTGACCAGTGCATTACTGGGTTTGTGAAGGGAGGGGTTGCTTTTATAGGAGAGATCACAACACCACTTCCTTTAGTCCAACTGCAAGTTGCAATGTACAGGAAACCAGGCTTTCTGTTTTGCTACAGTGCTGAATGATCTCATGTTACATATGCGTATTTAGAGCTGTGTCAAACAATTTAAACGACAGGGAATGACAGAAAAATATCAGGTCAATGCATTATGCACTGGCCTTGATGTATGAATCATTTTACTTCATAGGTGCTTACATTTAAAACATTGAAATGTATATCACTGCTTGAGAGTTCTATCACTGTTATTCATGCATGTGCGAGAGGCAACTGCCCCAAGTTACATTCCTGTCAGACAGAAATTATCCTTCCTTATGAACTCAAGATTTATTTCCCTCAGCCTTCCATAATTATTCTTTTATCCCTCCTCCCCCTCCTCCTCTCTTCTCATACTGACCATCTGCCTTCCTGTTGTTTCCCCTTCCAATCTCCAGGTCTCCTTTCTTTTTTCCCACTGCATTCCTTCCATCCTCCCTCCCTTGACTAACTATTCCTGCTATCCAAGGAACTCTGCAGTTCCAAAATTTCATGCACACATGCTTCAGTGAGACCCTTCTGTCACCATTTCTATCAGCCCACAAAGGAGGGAGCCCTGCCACAGAAATTAGCCATTTTCCTTGGGTGCTGAAGAAATATTTTCCTGACTATCTGATCCGCCATCTCAGCACAGTGGCCACATTGCTTCCATTGCTGCATGTTCCTTAGGATGCCTTCAGAGCTTTCCACAAGAATGAGGACCTAGTGAAGAAATACTTGCGTTTGCTTCAAATTGGAGAACTGGCACCTGATCAACCCAGCTGTGAGCCCACCAAAAATGTGAGTTTTCCCCACAACACCCCTCCCCCTCCTCCTCCTCCTCATCTTTGCATGTGAAAAATACAAAGTTGTCACTACAGTTCT